TCTAGACAGAGCGGATTATCCATCTCATCATCAGCTATTGATCATCAGACTGAAGTGTTACGATAGTGTACTTTTTCACTGCCCTAACAACAGCTCCCTAGGGAGATGATTGAGACATCAGTTGGTTGGGCTGAAATACAAGAACTATGGGAATATTTGCCAGTTTTTGCACAATCATGTTGTCATCTTACTCTCTCTCTCCTATTTCCATCGATTCTCCTTCACATATTCCAAATGAACTTCCGGATTAGTTTTCCTTTTTTCCACCCTCAGCCCAATTAGACGAAGACAACCAGGAGGTATTGGCGTTTGTTACTTCCTTTCTTCCTTCGATATCTCAAACTCACTCACTCACTCACTCGCTCACTCACTCACTCACTCGCTCACTCACTCACTCATTCACTCACCCACTCACTTTCCCCGTAGGTCCCCCGCTCACCCTAAAACTACGCAAAACATATTGCACCATTTTGACCGTCGGAATCCATATTGATTAANACTTCCGTTTGGCTGTCCGCCCCCTCCCCACCCTCACGCGCGCGCACACACACACACAGGCCAAGAACCTGGTTGGTGAAGATGCAGGTCAAGTGGAACTGGTCGCTGCCACAGAACCGGATTTGCCCACCACCCCGAGACTGTTGAATGCAACCAGTACTACACTGGCTGTGGCATGGACACAGGGTTTTAATGGTGGCCCGGTACAAAAATTCAAGGTATGCAGTTGTGTTTTGCCTATATTAGTTGTTTTTACTACCAGAATAGTGATTTACCGAGAAACAATTAATTGAGTGCAATGTGGTCTAGGGTGAGAAACTATTCGCGATAATTTCACTTTGAAATAAACGGGGGGTGGGTGGGGGTGGGGAATGATAAGCAACTCAAGAGTTGTGTGTGGATGGGTAAGTGAGGGAAGCGCTGAAAAAAATAGTGTATTCCGGTTGTGGCGATGTGTATACCCTCCTCTCCAAATGAAAGGCAAGTTTTGTTCGTATTCAAGTGCGGTAATCCGATCTCGTATTATATTTTAAGATTCGAACAGATAGAATCAATAAACAGCTCCATCCTAGCCCATAAAGTTTGCACCGGACATCAAGTAAATCCGGACATTACCCTCAGAGTTGTTTATCGTGTCCCCCCCCCACTCCAAGTACAGAGGTGTCCAACTGCGCATCCTCTAGCAATAACTGAAGCAATCGGGATCAGGCAGCTGACCCCTGACCTCTGTGCCCAAAAGCGTTTGGTTTCACCCACACCAACTTCCATGTTCCGAAATCGATCAGGCCCAAGTGTGTCTGCCGTCCAGTCACCCTGAGGCTGTAACTTAGTTAAACCAACCAAATAACAAATGCCAGTGGACTATGGCAAACTCTTACCCATGATTGGTGATACGCCTAACTGAGTGATCTGTTTTACCTATGAACCTATGTGATCTGTAAATGGCTTGAGAAGGAATTACTGAAAAATACTTATTTCACCGTACTGTGTTTGTTCTAAATGCTGTGATGGGAATCGTTCAGATTTTATACTAATGTTGCTGCTCGTTTGAAGGATAAAATTGATACTGTGCAGTTGACGCGAAAAATGCGCTAATTCCTCTCAAAGCCCCTCTCGAATGAACACGTCTGCTGAAATCGGGCTTGCTCGTTTGTTGTGTTTGGGAATTGAGTTCTGATATGGTCGTCGAATTGGTCGATAAGATTGAATTGAATGTTCTTCCCCATAAATGTTATTATTATTACTATTATTATTCACATCATATTTCTGCGGAGCTTATCGGAACGGTTCAGCAAATGGCACTTAGGTCCATTGCAATAGGATGCTGTCGATTGAAATGAGATAGAATCCTCCGGAGGTTTACAAAAACGCCATCTTTTTATTGACTGTATTTTTGCACGCAGCTACGATGGGCCTCGAATGAGAATCCGGATAAATTTATGGAAACAGATGTGGCGGAAGATTTGGAAAGTGAGACAATTGCATATGAGATCAAAGGTGAGTGAAACTTGTCACATTTAGTCGTAACCAAACAGGTTTATTGAGTTATGACTACGGAGTTGAGCTGTTTATTCCTCTTCCATTTCGTCGAACAACTCTCCGGTGATGGGCAAATAATTTCACAATTTATGCTCCATCTGGTCAGGAGAACTCTCTCATACCAGCATATTGTCATTTAAAGAATCGGCATTGTCCAGGATTTGTCGGTTATGAGTGTTTAAGAATGTGTTTAAGAATTAATGTTTAAAAATGCCTGGACAGTTATGGAACACTTAAGTTACTTCGCCCGTCCTCTAACTGCTCATATGATCCACTCACTGAAGAAACTCGAACTCATTCTAAAACACACAGCTAAACAGTCTTAACAAGTGGATTGGGGTAGTAGGTCAAGATAGCAATCCCGTCGGCTCAGGTTGCATTCCCAGTGGATTTGATAAATACGTAATGCCGATGATGCTGATCTGCATTAGCCTGATTTTACAAGATCTTCACGGGTTTTCAGTTCTCCAGAGCATGTTAGGTTTGCCCGTTTAATTCGTCTTCCTTCCCAACTTTGGTATATACCCTAGTATTATTATTGTTATTGACACGGATTTCAAGTGAGGCCAAATCAAGCTATGAAACGTATTGTTCACAAAGTGCTGAATTTTGCGCAATTTACGAACTTACAGAGTGAATATACAACAAAGAAAGATGCGATTAGGAAATAACAGAACATAAATTTAATACCACGGTCAAAGAAACGGTTCCAATTCACGTACTTTCTCTAAGTCAAGTTTTAAAACCGATCACTCAACAATTTAGATAACTTTGAACCATGAACTGACGCGTTTGAACAAAATCAAATACTCTGCTAACGAACATTCAGATTCTTTGAATCTATGCCTTTTATAGGACTATAGTCTTTTTCCCGTAACATTCTTAGCTGATGATAGAAACATACGCCCAAATGTGAATGCATATTTGATATTCAGTGTCCGATTGAACCAATTGCATATATATATACATATATATATGTGTGTGTGTGTGTGTGTGTAATTATATAAACGTATATAACCATTGATCAAACTCGTGCAACACCCTGACATTTGGCATATTCCTTCATCTCTACAACAAGCGTTCTGAGCCACATTCGTGCGAGATTGAATATGGTAGTACGCCATATATCTGTGGTAGCATCCACGTATGTTGTTGCTTCTCCTATACGAATGGCGTTTAACCATATAATTTCTCCATGTCGACGACGGTCCTTGACGCATCAGGGGTGGGGTAATGAAATCTCAGTAGAAAAAAATAATCAGAATTTATTGATAAACATGACCTATAGGCATGAAACAAATGGTGTACAGTCATTGTGTCAATACCCCGTTCGCCCTCCTTTATGTTCAAATGTGTTTTTACTTCATTTTTTTTACCTAGATAGAGTACAAATGTACAATAAGATTTCAGGAAGGAGGCCGCGCAATATAAAGGCTGTCGGGGAACCTACAGAAATGGGGACGATGGGCATGGTAGTCACCAAAAACCGGCTTGATCAATCAATTTATGACTATCCATTGAATATGCAATCAATTTGGCTTATCCTCACAGGGAATCACATGTGCGAGTCAGGAGTTGAGACCTCGAATTTATGGGTCTCTGTACTACGTTTCTTCTTACCTTCCCTTTGAAAACCACAAACGCTTTCAAGTATCATCCGTTTTTGGACTGGTGACTTAACAAAACGCTTATTCAACAAGCTGCACACGAGAATGTGTGGGCCATTAAGTCTAATTTTCACACTTTTCGGAATATAGTGTCTTCCCCTTTTTTCATGAAGAGAGATTTTAAGTGAGCACTTTGTGGTCAAATAATTTTTCACTTTAATTTGGGATAAATGTTTCATTGTTCGGCGTATTTACTCTACGCTGTATGAAAAAAGATGTGACATTTGGAATACACGTATCATATCATATCAAGCACCCGTGCACCCACGCACTGATTAGACGAAACTGAACTGCCAGGAATATTTTCTAATTTTGAGCTGCAACTTATTATCGAATTACCACAAAATTGATTTGGTCACTCACTCATGATCCTCCCAATTAGAGTGTCATCATGAAAGAACTAACAATAATGGAGTGAGAGATGAGTGCTCTTCATTTATAGCTGTCAATAAACAACAACACGTCTAATCGAAACTGAGAAGCAGCGGATCCCTGTGAAACACTTGTGTATTCGTACAGGCAACAGCGTTTATACTAAAGTAAATTTTTTTCCAAATAATAATCAACAATCCTTGGTGAGTCTTCATAGCAGTGATTTTTCTGATTTGTTTATACTCAGCAGATGCAATGGTTCAGAACGTACAGGATACTCCCATTTTGTCAGCATTGGTTGACCTACAGCATGACGAGTTAGGAGGTAATTAAAGAGAACAGTTTTTATTTACAACAAATTAACACTGATAATAATTGAGATATAAGGTTTATGTACACCAATAGTCGGTTGGTCTACCTGTGTTCTTTAGGACATTTTCGAGTCTCTTCGGTATCAAATCCACCAGTTTCATTATGAAGTCATTTTCTCTGTTGTGCTCCATTACGTAGCGCGCTTTTGCCTCCAATGTCCAATGTGTAAGTAGCACATTGACCTCTCTCTTCAAAACAGAAAACAGATTTTCAACCACGTTGAAATCCGGGTTATTAGGGGGGAATTGCATGTACTGAACCTTGGAGTCACGCATCTTTTCTGAAGTCTAAAAGTAAATAATAAGGGAACCAGACTCCTTACCTATATAAATTTACAAACCTCTCGTGAAACCGGACACGGAGCGTTATCCTGAAAAGTGATAACTTTCCAGACTATTTTTTTTCATCAAATTCTGGAAACATTCTCGTAATTAGTGATGCAAATTTCCCACTATTAATGGTGCCTTTGACTGATGTCCGCCGACACGGCTGACCATGTTTTATTCCTGTCTAGATGAGTAATTTCGACGGGCGAGAAACTCTTTCATTTGGTGAAATAAGTTCTTTTGGGAAATTCTCACCACAAATGACGTTTTGGCAAGCCTTCCAAGGACTGTCTCACACCATACACTTGTCGGCGAAATAAACTGACCGCCAAAATGACGCACGTCGAGATTTGCAAGCATTCAGCCTGTAAAGTACCGGGTTCGTGAACCCCAG